CGCACCACCAACTGGGACAGCAGAGCTTTGTCGGGGGAGTGGTCGCCCGTTCTCTTCCCTCTTGCAGCCCAGCACGGCACCGCTCGGGGTGCCGCGGCGAGGGGAGTGCCTGCCGCGCCACGACATCTGGTTGCAGCAGGATGGTTTTTTTTTTCGTCTTTTCGTGTAAGTTTTGTTTTTTTTTGGTGCGCTTGGCTTTCCGTTGAGGGAGGTGGGAGGTTTTGCGTTTGCGGGCTTGGTAGGTCTGCTGGGTGCTACGGTGAGCTGAGCTTTGAGCGATACTGTTGGCGCTGGGTGACCTCTTTTTCCTTTCCGTTGGGCTTTTTAGCTGTCCTGTAGCAGCGGCGCTGCGTGGGGTTTCGGGCTGCTGTGGCTTTGTGCGGGTGTACTTTTTCGAGTGTTATGATTGCGGTTTGGCAGTGTCTCGCGCTTTGCGCGTTTCGCATGTTCTCTGTTGCGGGAGCCCCGGAGGCGTTTGTTTTGCTTCCCCTGGGGTTCGGGGCCGGTTTTTGGTTTATTGGGCACAGCTTGGTGTCCGGGTGGTCGGAAGTATGAGGGTCCTTTCTCAGTTTTAGCTTTTTCTTTTCTTCTGGTCGAGGAGCAGATTCAGGTCTTCGCCGTCTGGGTCTGTAGGGTCATTTGTTCTCGACGTGTTGGGGCCGGTGCTTCTGGACGTTTGTGTTTGTGTTTTTTTTTTTTGCGTTTTTTCTGGCGCTTGTGTTCTGGCTGTGTCTGTTTCGTTGTGTGTTTTTTGTCGTTGGTTGGTTTTTCCTTTTCTTGGGGGGGTTTTTCACTGCGTGCTATTCTTTGTTCTGTTTTTTGTGGCAAGCTGTATTCTATTTCTTTTTGTTCTCTTTTCTGTTATTTTTTTTTTTATGGTCCCCTGTGTATTCTGGGGTGGCTTGATGGTTTCTCTACGTGAGTTTTGGTCCAAGTATTTTAGGGTGGCCTGTTAGCTTTGGGTGGTTTTTTTTTGGATTGTCTTTTCGCCTGCGCATTGCTCGACTGTCTAGGTGTTTTTTGCCTGGGTCCTGTAGATTTCCCTTTTTTGCTTTTTTGTCGCTGCGTCTGTCCTGCTGCCCTTGGAGTTTCCTCCACCTTTCTGTGTCCTCTCTTTGGGATTGCTGTGGCCGAGCCGCCCCCAGTTTTTTTTGGGACAGTTCTGTGGCCAGGTTCAGTGTTTCTGGCACTCTGTCCGCTGCTGGGTGTGGGCTGGCTTCTTTGTGGCCGCTTTGCCGTGTTGCCGTTTTTTTTCGGCCCTTGTTTTGTGGCCTTTCTCTTTTTTTTCTCGCTGGTCTTGTACCTTGCCTTCGGGATTTTTGTCGTTTTTGGGTGCGGCGGGGTTGTCTCTTTGTCCTTCCTTTTTCTGTCTTTTCCTTTTTGGGGCTGGTTCGGGGGTGTCTTTCTGTGGAGTACATTGTGTGGCTAGGTGTGTCTGGGTATCCTTCCTCTTTTTTTCGCCCTAAGATGGTTTTGTTCTAGTGTACCTGCTATCCTTTTCCTTGCTTTACTGTTCGTTCTGTTCCTTTTTCTTTGACTAGGAATTTCTCTTTTTGCTTTTGATTTTTTTTTTTATAGTCTGTTTGTTTTTTTATTTTTTGTGGATATGATTATTTTCCTATTTGATTAGTATTGGAGCTTTTATGCCCAGCTCTCAATCACTTTTTCAAATTTGAGACATCTGGTTTCTGTGCTTTGTGCTGTTTCTGCTTTTGTATTTTTTGGGTTTTAGATTTGATAAGCGTGGTGCCGGCGCAAGTTCTACTTGGGGTTTATTCCGCAATGTGGCTGTTCTTTGTTCCTTTTCTTTGTGTTTTCTTTTAGTTGTATTTTATATATTGGGGGTTAAGTTTTTGTATTTTTTTTGTGTTGTTACTGTCATTTTTTTATCTTTTTTGATGTTTTTGAACTTCGGTTTTTTTAGTTGTTTGTTATGTTATGGTTTGTTTCTTTTTTAGGTTTTTTTGTTGTTGTTCTTTTTATTTTTTTATTTTCTGATGTTTTTCTCTTTCTTTTTTTTTCCGTTATTCTTCTTTTTTTGGGGAGTGAGTCTTTTTTTGTTTTCTGGTCTGTTTTGTGTTTCCGACCTTTATTTGCTTTATGTTTTTTCTGTCTTTTGCTGTGTTTTCTGTTTTTTTTGTTTTTATTTTTTATTCTTTGTGTGTTTTTTTGCTTTTCTTGAACGCCGGCTTTCTCTTTTCATGCTGCCCCAACAGGAAGTTCTGCCCATGAAGTGCATGCTTGGGAGGTGGCCATCAGGAACCTTCACATATCAGCTTTCTCCCTTATTCACAAGTAAATCTCTAGCTAAAAATCAATAAAATAATCAGGACTTGCACTTAAAACTGCTCACATGAAATTAGTAAATGAACTTCAGGGTGCCTCCTTCCCCTCAAACAGGTTTTCAGTGGCAAAAAACAAGGAAGGCCTTCAAGTTCTACTCCTCTCAATCCTAAAGTGTTCAGGCAGCTTCAAGGAAACAGAGAACTTTCACCTCTAGTGGGAGGTCTGCCTGCCCATGGCAAGGAGGTTGGAATGAGATGCTTATTAAGGTACCATCCAACTGAAACCATTCTGTGATTCTATGATAATGCAGGTGCACTTCAGCATTGCAGATGTGATCACAGAGAGAGTACTAAATAACAGGGTGGGAGATAACTTGGTTTAAGTTAATTGGATGCTAATGAGTATTTGGGTCAAGATGACAGTACTGGCCATAATCTCTCTGTACTGTAACACATGGCACTGGCAACCCAGTAATCCTGATAGGAATATCTCTGACTCTCAGGACAGGACCAGTGATCCTGGTAGGAGTAACTCTCTGGCTCTCTGGACAGAACTGTGGTTTCTAACTGGACACAGGTACAGAGATCATACTTCACACATGGCCCCAGGGGATGCTCTTTAGGGCAAAAAAGTTGATCTCTGTCCCAGTGGTCTGTGGTTACTTCCTCCCTGTTGCTGGTCTTGCCCACCAATGACAGTGGCCATGGATTGAAACACAGTCTTTGACATCAAGCTTGCAGGATGGTACCACTCCAAGCCAAGGATAGGACTGGATTGGCTCACATGTGTTGCCACTAAACTCCACTGTGTTTGCAAACAAGCAGGCACAGAGTGGTGGAGACACAAGCCATAACAGACCTTGGTGATACTGTAAGTGTAGAAGTGTATTTCAACTTCTATGCTACCCTAACCTTATCATTTAAAGATACTTACCAAGTAACTAGAACTCATGACAGTTCATTTAAGAAGGACAAAAAAAAAATTACATTTTTAACAGAGGAATTAAACCAATAAAAATCTGAAATTCATGTCACATCTTCCTTCATAAAACCTTGCAACAATCTCCATTCTGAATTTAGAAGGAAAAGAAAAATTTGCTTTTCAAAACTCTCTGAAGAAAACCTGAAAATGAGTAATAGAAGGACTAAAAGTCAAGACTTTCTCCTAAGCATCTACAAACACAAAGTTATCATGCTCCAATGCTACTTAAATCAGAACTATTGCTACCAATGCAGTTACAAGATCAGACACTGTACTTCTCAATCTCACTTATAATACTAAAACGTTTTGGAACAAGACTGATACACTTTCAACTGCCAGCAAAAATGCTGCATCTCAAAGCTGAAGAGCTGCTCTCTGATAAAGTAGGAAAACTATCTCAAATGATTTCAGCTCTGGAGTTCTCTACTACTCAGAATGTAATTTAAATTCAGGATCCTTCTCTGGCATCACTTCATTGTATATAGAAAACATCACACCTTGAAACAAGCGGTCTACGGTTAAGTTCAGCTCCATTCCCAGGTCTGGGGTCTTTTGAAACTATGTAGCAGCAACAGTATGCTTTTGGCATATAGAACATCAGACCCATCATGTAAGGAAGTAGACAATATGAACATTGATTGTGAAGATCTTGAGGATTATTTCTACTTTCTGAAGTAGCAGCCTCTGAGGTTATTCCTAAGCAATTTTGATAAGGAAGTTAAACATGCTAAACATGTGAGATACACAAGACAGAGACAAACCGTCTTTGAATAGCCATCCCATTATGAAATACCAGTTACATCTTTCCACTCCCAGAACAAGAGGTCAGGAAACACCTACAGAAGGGACCTTTTGTTTCAAAGCATTGAAGTCATTACCTACAAAGAAAACAGGCTTGTTTTCTCCATCAACCAGATTTCACCTGAAGAGAGCAAGCTGTGGCATCAGCCTTATCTGGTTTCTTTGGCATCCCCAGGAATACTCAGTAATCTTCACACTGAAGAGCAAAGATTGCTTGAAGGTTTGGTCAGGCAAGATCAACTAAAAGCAGTGATTTCAATACCCCAGATTACCATGCCAGAGGAGGGTGCTTCCCATTCCACTACCTAATGTCTTAAGAACAAGTCATCTGCTGTGGGAAGATCTACTGGTTTTTCAGAGCCATAGAGGACACAAAAAACACTCAGGCAACAGAAGTCGGCCCGAGACTGCTCAATAAGAAGGAAGCCACAGAGAATAAACTATTTAAGTGTGCATCCTAAAGAAACTGTTCAAGTGCTGCAATTCAAAAGCAGTTTAACCTGTGAAGTAAGATAATCTGCCCTTTTTCCAAGATACAAGCTTCATTACCTGCATCTCTAAGAAGAAGTAGCTTTGCATCAACAAGCACTAAAGTCTAACTTCAGTGAGGTTGGATTAAAATTCAAGGGAACTTTGTATAAACAACCTGCTTTTCCACATGTGAATCTTTTTTCCTAGTACTCTGAAGCCCAGGTTTAAGTGTCCTGTTTTAGCATTTTTAACATTCAAAGTAACTGAAATTAAATGCAAATAAATATGCTTAATTTCGGGGTATATAATTAAAAAATTATTAATATAAGTTCCTTCATTGGTTCCTAACAAGCATTGGCTCCTTCTGCCTTTATTCCATTACTTAAGAGAATTGCAATATACCATCAGAGTTTGCTGCTTGGAAAAATGAAAAGATACAGAAAACTCCAAAACCAACATACCTGTTATTTTGTCCCTAACAAGCTTGCAGGATTCTATCTCCCCAATGCTTCCAAAAAGACTCTTCAGTTCCTCTTGTGTCATGTTTTGTGGAAGGTAGTTGACTATTAAATTGGTCTTGCTGTCTTCTGTGTTCCCAGAATCAACTGGTGATGGGCAATTGTTTATGGTGGCTGAACCATGGGCTGTATTATTACAAGTTGGTCCATTAGACAGTTGTGTTTCCATGGCAGCAATTACCTGCTGAAAAGAACAGAAAACAAAAACCATCTAAATTCATATTTCAGTATCTAGTAAGAGAGTCCAAACAAGAACCTAAAAGATCTGTCAACTATACAGAAATGGTACTGCCAAGGCCATATACCGCCTCTACATGCAAGAAAAAACCCAAACACTAGTAGAGAAGGGCATTAAACTGTTAGTCAAGACAATACTACAATACTTTAAAACTCTGTAACAAATAAACTGTATCTTCTACAAGCCCATTAAATTATATCAGCACTCAAAGCTTAGTTTCCATCCTCTGCCATTCTTCCAATTTAGGGGAATTACAGCCTTTCTATTATAGAAGCTACCAAACAAAACTGGACTGTTGCAAGAGTAATAATTTCTGTCAACTTACAACTGGTTACTGAAATAACATGAAGTATGATTGGAATATTTTCAAAAAGAGGTGGGCATTAACTGTATCCAAAGAATATTTCTTGTAAGAAATAGCAGAGTTCACGATTACTATTTTAAATAGATACTTAAGAGGATATATGAATGTGCTAGGATGGAAATTATATTCTTCTTTAACATCCATGTCAAACTTCTTTCACCACCTGATTCAGTTGGAATCACCACTGATTCCACCAGGTTGGAACCATGTTTCTAGATGCTTTTATTTGATGAAACTGGCAATTTCTCATTATTATTTCTTCCCTCGCCTGAACTCTGAGAACAGTTAAATTTGAATCTTGAACTTAATTTACTTCTGGACCACTCCAGAACCACTCTGTGCCTGGGAGATCGCAGAACAGATCCTCCTAGAACCTCTGCTAAGGCAGACAGAGAACAGGAAGTTATCTGAGACAGCCAACATGGCTTCACTAAGGCCAAATCCTGTCTGACCAACTGGCCTTTCTGTGATGAAGTGACTCCATCAGTGGACAAGGGAAGGGCTACAGATGTTATCTATCTAGATTTATGTAAAGCCTTTGACACAATCCCTATCATTATCTCTAAAATGGAGAGTATCTATGTGTGCACTAATAGATGGATTAAGAAAGGGATTGGACGGTTGCATCTAGAGGTCGTAGTCAATAGCTCAGTCTTGACAAATATCAGTGACAAATATTGTCCCTTGGGGTCCATACTGGGACCAGTGCTATTCAATGTCTTCACTAATAACACAGACAAATGGATCAAGAGCACTCTCTGCAAGCTTGCTGATGACCTCAAGGTAAAGCATGCTGCTGACATTCTTGAAGCTCAGGATGTCATCCAGAGGGACCTGGACAGGCTTGAAAAGTGGGACCATGGAAATCTCATGAGGTTTAAAAAGACCATATTCAAGGTGCTGCACATGGGTCAGGACACTGCCAGTATCAACAAAGGCTGGGGAATGAACAAATCAAGAGTAGCCCTGTGAGCAGGACTGGGGGGTGCTGGTGGTGAGAGGCTGGACATGACCCAGCCATGGGCTCTGCCAGCCCAGAGAGCCAAACATGTCCTGGGTTGCAACCAAAGCAGTGTGGGCAGCAGGGGAGGGAGGGGATTCTGCCCCTCTGCTCTGCTCTGGTGAGACCCCACCTGGAACTGCATCCAGGCCTGGGGTCCCAACACAGGAATTTGGGAGTGAGTCCAGAGGAGGGCCTGGATTAGAGGGACAGAGCATGTCTGCGCTGACAAAATGCTGGGAGAATCAGGTTTACTCAGCCTAGAAAAGAAATTACTTTGGAGTAGCCTAATTGTGGCCTTTTAGTACCTGAAAGGATTTTACAAGGAAGACAGAAAGAGACATTTTTGAAGAGCATGTAGTGACAGGACAAAGGGGAAGAATATCTTCAAACTGAAAGAGAGCAGGTTTAGATTACCTATTAGGAAGATATTGTTTACTGTGCAGGTGGTAAGGCCCTTGCCCAGAGAGGCTGTGGATGCCCCACCCCTTGAAATGTTCAAGGTCAGGTCGAATGGAGCTTAGAGCAACTTAATTTAGTGTAAGATGTCCCTGTTCATGGCAAGTGGATTAGAGACTTTCAACTCAAACCAGTCTGATTCTACTGTGTCTCATCGCAAACTGACTGACTGTGTGACTGCACGATGCAACAGAAATAATTAGGAGGAGTCTGCTTGCACATAAGCACTTGTCCACATGCTGCCACATCTACAAAAGGCACTCTACCTGCTCAGTCACTGAATGGTAACAGCTAGTAAATACAATGGATTTTTAATGGCATCTTAATATCTAAGATTTGGACAGCCTACCCTGTTTGAGACCAGCTGTTTAGGACAACATGCAAGAGAAAATGATGTACATTAATTCTCCAGTAATACATATTTCAATACAAGAAGTTCACTAAAGAAATCCATCAATCACTGAAATTTAACCTCATAATTAAACTGCTAAGATGAGCTCTCACAAAAAAGCCTCTTGTAAAATCACAGAGCACCATTAGGACCTCTGAAGGGTCTGTCCTAACAGTCCTGTTTAAAGCACCATAGGCAATCAGTGCATGTACAAACAGCTGATGAGGTCAGCTGTGTTCGGGGACTGCTGAATAACTGAATTTCCTAATAATCAAAAGGCGATTAAATTGAGTTTCTTACTAGAAGTCCAACTTTGACATTCCTGGGAATAGATTTCTATGTTCTGTGTTCTGCATACAGAAGTATTTTCCAAGAGGTTACTTCAGCACAATGCAAAAAAATGGATACATCTATTAGGAGCACTCATTAGAAAAGTATGATCTAGTTTTCCTGAAGAGCTGCAACTAGAACAACATTTTCTTCCCTTGTGACAAACTCTAAGGAGTAACCTGCTTCTGACAGTGATGAAACAAGTCCACTAAAAAGATTATAAAGTAGATTATCCCAATTAAGAGAAATTACTTTTCAAAACACTAGCATACCTGTTAAAGGTAGTAGTCACAAATACTGTGCTCTGAGGGTCTGTTACAATGGCCTTTTTCCTTTTCTTTGTGTTTTATTCTCAAATTTGAAATGTTCATTGATCAAAATTAGCAGGATTTAGCAAGGACAACAAACAATTCTCTCTTAATTGCACATTTATTTTCACTTTCAGGTGGCAATTATAGTATCCTATGCCAACACTCAAGTGAACAGCTGCAGTAGCCTGTGTGTGCTGAAAATAATACCATCTCTCAGCTATAGAACCATCTGCTCTGAAAAAAGTGATACTAATGTTTTACAAATAATGCATACCCCACTAACTAGGCTAAAGAGAACTGTTCATAAAAGACAAGGCACTAAATATTTTTCACTCAGAAAAATATTTTGAGATAAATTTACAGTTTAAAAAAATTCTTAGAATAGACTGGCAAATAACATTTTAAAATAGTAATCACAAAACCACAACTATATAGGTTTTCAAAGTTACTGCAATTTAGTATTCAGACCATACCAAAACCATTTTAGTACAATACTCCTCTTCAATTACCACTGTGTATTTTCAATTAGTACTAAAATCTAATTGACATTAGAAGAAAGGCAAGTCACTGCAGTGTAATTTCTACAGGAGATAACTTTTTCTGTAAAATGGCGATGTCTTGTTATGCCAGTGTGGTCTAGGCTCTCACAGAATAGGAACACAACCTACAGCCTATAATGAAACATATATGTGAGTTAGCATTCCAAATCGAAGGTTAAAAGACTTTGGTATGGCCTCAGCACTATTAACATGTAAGAAAGTAGCCTACAGAATTTAAGAAAAGTCCCACAGACCCCAGTCCAAGGCTCTGCTGCCCACGAACCACTTCTAAGCAGAGAAGCCACATCACACAGTCTGACTGCCATGTTAATTTGGAGTTGCCGTCTGGAATATGGACACAAAAAGTACTGTATGTTAGATTAACAAGATAATGCAACAAATCAGTTTGTACAAATTTACAGTAATTGCATTTATATTCCCAGCACGTCCATGCAGTGTGGCTCAATTGGATTTGAGGCAATTCCAATCTAATCTTAACAAATTCAGTTGTAAAATTATTTTTCTTATGTGAAGTAAGATGCTTATTTTTAAGACTTAAAAGATAATGGAGTCTAGTTACCCCTGCATCTACCCTGGAAAATACCTTCAGTACCACACTATGCCTAAAAGAAACTGTATCGCAAAACAGATCTTTAAATCTTCAAGAGTGAAGAGGAAAGAAAGAAAACACAGTACAGTGAGCTTATTTTCCATCAGCACATAAAATGATCATGCACTACAGCTCCCTTTACATGTCTTTCCCAGCCCACAGGAAAAAAAAATACATGAAGACAACAAAGTACTATGTTAGAATTAATTCCATTCTTAAAATCCTAGGTTTTAAAAAATAGTTAAATGAAAATCTTGTGCAGATGGTATTCACTAAACTTCCTTGCAACAGCTGTTTAAAAGTACCACTGCTCATACAAGTGGCAGTAAATTCAAGGATTTATCAAGTGGAATAACTGGAACAAAACATTCAAGTGATTTTTATGAGAGTATTTTTGGTAACCAAGAAGACTGTTCTTTAACTAAAACATTACTGAAAATCCACTTAAAGACACAGCTGCTCAGTTCAGCAAAGTGCCTCTCTCTAACATGCAGTCCATATCAGCCATCTATCTTTCAATAAACTTAATTTTACTTCACCAAGCACAGGAAGAATTTTAAACCCTAACATTCTTAAACACTTTTTACGGCATTAACTGAATGCCAGTTTCTAATGAGCTGCAGTTCAAGCAAGTCATGAGTAAGGTTTGCCTAGCAGAGAAGCAAGTAGGCTTTTTTGCTTTTCAAGAGAAAAGATATCAGAAGTTCAAAAGCCATATGGTTTATGCAATTAGTTCTGGTTGCCATAGAACAGTTCCAATTATAACAGCAGATTTTTATGAGAGCTTTAGAAAAAACAGTAGAGCTAGCAAGATGAAGACTTGCTACACAATAGTCACAGTGGCCTACTAACTTTCCTTTCAATGTAGGTATTTTGGCATGCAATATACTCAACTGTTCATGCTCAGCTGAACATGCAAGCTGAGGCTGGATCCCAGCAGTGCTGAGATAGAACTAAGGAGGTGACAAAACAGGTAAATCTTCAACCACCTCACATGCATACAGGTGCTAGGGAGAAATGTTTAGTGCATCAGACTTCTGACTAAAATCTTTCTACCACCTGTTTTAATTCATACTTGTGCATCCTGGTCATTGCTGGGTGGGAAATAATTTCACATGGGTTTTATATAATTAATTTAATCATATTTACAGACATTGCACAGAAAAAAAATCATCGCACACATGCCTGCCACAATTACATTATATATTTCTAAATAGTATTATCACATAAAAGTGACTGGACTCTGAATTTAAGACAGCAGATACTAAACACATCTGCTTACTTCAATATGTTATCACTGTTTAAAGGCAACCTAAGCTGGACCATGAGATGCCGCCAGCCTCAAAGGTTACAGCCAATACAATGCCCTTGGTAAAACCATAAGAGATGTAAATGTGCTCCTGAAGATTTCTCCTCAAGGCTTACATACCAGAAAGCCTTCAGAGCATGCTTTAGTACTTTGTGCAATGGAAGCATGCAAGAGATAGGACACATCACCATTTGGACAAGCAAATATTACAGATTTTGTTTTCATAATACCAAATTGCACAACAAGAACCACCTCTGGCTATACACATTGTTGTCTCTTCCAGACAAAAAGGTCTAAACCAGAACTTTGTTCTCTGCTTGTAATGAAGTTGCTCTCTTTCCAGAGGATTTATTTATTGCATCAGCTTTGACTTACAACAGTAATGAATGCATTTTAACAAGGGTAAGCTATTTCTTTTCTGTGGGGACTATTGTTAAACATGTCAAATAAAAAAAAAAATCATAATTATTTGAGGGCTCACTGAAAGGTAAGACCTGGCACAATACAGATGCTGAATTTTACTTTAAAAAGCCCAACTCAGCAGAACAAATTTTTTTTAGGTATTAAAATTTTAAGTGCAGAGGTATTGATACTTGGAATAGATCCAATTCTTCATGCTTTCTCTTTAGTCATTTTTATCTTTACTGGAGTGTTAATTTGAGGTCTCCTTTTTTTCAAATGGTCAAGTATCTTAGAAGCATATACAAAAGCACACTACTAATTTTTGCACACTCAAAATAGCTGTACAGAGATGACATAGATTGTTCAATCTAGCATATGCAAAAACTATTACATAGCTTGCTTGAACATCCCAGGTCCTTTATAGGTAAACACACACAAAGGGCAGAGGCATGTCTTTAGTTTGCCTGTCAGAAAAAAAAAAATACTCACTCTTAGGTTACCTATAAGAAGGGTAGATGTCAATAAGCACTTAATGATTGCTCTGAAATCCACATATTAACAGCACATCTTGTGCTTGGTGAGTCTGCACAAACAGGCTAAATAACACTTGTTTCTTTGTCTCTGTTTTCACTTTTTGTTTAATAGTATAAACCACTATTTGTCCATTAGCAGCCCTCCTCACCTACACATGTATTCATTTGCTGTTCCCTCCATTACACTATTAAAGAATCTGCAGCACAAACTAGGTCGGGGTATTGCTTGGTGAGAACTCATGCAACTCAGGAGAAGAAACCAGTAGAACAACTGTTGATTTATGCTAAATTATATGGAAGAACTGTGATACAATAGATGAAAGATAGAAAACTTCACAGAAAACTTAGAATTTTTCTGATAATGAGGTGGTTTCAAATCTTAAAGTAACTTCAAAAGTTACTAATGTAAACACAGGCATAAGACTAGAAAGCATGAGCCCTTTAGAACAATAAAAAACAATTTCTAGCCTCTCAAAAGTGGCAGTTTAGAAGGAGAACCTTTTCACACACTCTTCAATGAATCACTAAAGAAGTAATACCACTTAACATTTCTATATCTTGGCCTCAAAGTCATGATGAGTTGAAATAAGTGAATAAAATGAAGATGGTTATAAAAAAAAGGTCTCATGAATTTTAGGGAAAAGGATTGTAATTCACCCCCGCGACTGATGCTGCAGAAGTTAATCCTCAGAAGCTTTCTGCAGGAAAGAAGGCTTGCCTATTCCAGGTAAGCAGTGAGAAGACAACTGAAAAACTGCAGACATGAACAATAAACAGCTATTAGTATAGGTATGAAAGAACTTAATAGTGCTGCTGACAACACTAAAAAGGACAGAAGCAAGAAAGTGTAAATTATCTATGGAATGTAAGTATTTGTAGGAACATGAATAATGTATACATAGATTAAAAGAAAAGGTCTTCACTCAGGATGAAATGCTTTTGGAAACTCTTAACATTTCTGCAAAATGCTTAAGAGTATTAGGATACTCTAAACAATGCCCTACTAAAGCTACTATGCATTAGGAATGAACCCAACAACTTGTAAGGAGTTCTGAAAAAATAAGGTGTGTACAACAAGGCAAGAACATTGTTTAGCAATGGACTAATCTACATAAAAAATGTATCTCTTCTGACTGAAATTACTGATTATCCTATCAGCTGGGGTAAGGGAAGGGAAACATACAGGGTAACTTAAGTTATCCTAGAACCCATATTAGAAAGACCAACTCTAACAGTCTTCTGTAAAGAAAACAAGCACCTCCATTCCATTAAGGGTTCAGTTCAAGTGAGACCCCAATAAATGATAACCATTTTTACGTTCCTAATTATTCAGTTCAATTTAGACACACAACCACTTGTATCAATATAACAGATTTCCTGAGCAAGAGAGTATCAACATGCATTAATAATTAGCTCATATACAAAGAAAAACACCCAGAACTCAGCACAAAATTATACCTTTTCCTTGTATTGCCTTCCTTCATGTAAAAAAAAGTACAAAGCTAGCTAAGGGAAAATTATTACTTTGGTTATAATTGAAATTTTAACTAAATTTCAAGTTGGGACTGTTTGAACACAGCTGGCTGTCAGAACACAGTATTTATGTTCAGAAAGAGTTTCACCAAAATGATGAACACAAAATCACAAACAGCTATTCAGATCTCAAATAAATAAGCTGTGAACAATTGCAATACTTAAATAATACTTTAAATACGACTGACTTTTAACAGGAATGATTTTTCAACTGCACTCTACCAGCCACAAAATCTTGCCAACTACATTTATTGCTCTTATTTACTGTCCCAGTCTCCTATGTTAGCTCTCCCAGCCTTCTAACAAAATGCTTTCCAAGGCAATACGGCTCTGTCAAAACGCATATGTATTCTTCAAAAGGTAACTGCATCTTATTGCAGACATTTTCCTTCAGCCTTAGACATCTGCAGTCCTCTCAAGCCTACTAACACAAGAAAACAGAGGATTCAGTAGGGCAAAAGGAGACAACTTGATGACACTTCAAATATAAGCAACTTGATAGGCTGAAGAGTTTCAAAGTCAACATCCACTTGGAACTGGCTAGGATGCCTACTTCAATTTTTCAGCATTTACCTCAGCATTCCACTTGGGCCGTGCAAAATTTTCCCTCCTTTCATACTGCAGTTACATCCTTCATCCCCAGTGCCAATTTCAAAAGCTGATGTTTACCAACATAGAGGAACAGGAAGCAAACCAAGTTAGTCTGGCTGAAGAGGTACACTAACCAAAAAAATACAAGTAAGAAAAAGACGCTCTTCTAATAAAGAAAGTATGTGTCACCTTCAAGGCCACACACAACTCCATTTACTCTTTGGTGCATCTTCCTGAAGGACAATATGGTTTTGTCCATTGTGCACTCAACTGTCTTCACTGCAACAGAGGATGGATGATAGGATTCATCTTCCAGGATAAGGGTGACAAGGTTAGAGGAACAAGTCTCATGTGCTGACTTTTCATGGCAGTACTCCTTGCTCAATGCTCAGTGGTAAACTGAGAGACAGTGGTGTGTTTTGGGCCTAACTATCACAGACATTCCATCAGAGTGTACACCTCAGCAGATCCCCAGGGCATGAACCCAGTATCTGCATCACAGTTAACCCTTCAAACTGCAGGACCCCCGCTCAGGAGAGTTTTTGCTCTCTCACAGGGAATTTTTAGCTGAAACACAGATCTAGACAAGAGAAAAGTTGCATGACTAAATATCCCTACCCCTTAAACCCTCATGCATACTACTAGTTAGCACAAAAAATGACATCCTCAACACCATATAAAGACAGGGAAAATGCAAGCAGCTCAAAGTCAGAATTAGTAATCACCATGCCTCTCCCTTCCTCTATACCCATCTTTACAAGTACTATCAAAGTGGTATCAGGCTGGACAATAACACAATGCTTACAGACTCAGATGTCTCCGTAAGCCCAAATCATCAGTGGCCTGACAGACTGACATGTCACAGCATCCCTCTTTCAGCTCTAAAAGTAATGACAAGCAAAGCTTATGTGCAACACAAAACTGAATTCAAATCAAACTGAAGCATGCACCATTATGTACACATAGAATCAAGTCATTTTTGCACCAGAAACATTAATTCTTCCACTGAGGAAACTTTCTGGGGGAGAAGAGATCTTCATAAGGACAACAGCTCAATTAGCAACACAGGGGAAGATGCATTGGGATTTGCCAGTATGTGCCTTCCAGGAGATATGACAGCAAACAAACTACCTGAACAGCCTTGGACATGATGACTAAAATTGCTTAAATGGCCTAGGATCACATCTTAGAGGTTAAGTATTATCCAAATAATAAATACTTGCTTTCATTGTTTGGTGAAGGGCCTCAAAGCACCATGGAAAGCAAAGAAGAGGGACTTGTGGCAACAACTAACTTGGCCTGACTTTTTTTTTTTTTCCCCCCACAGCTGGGCCTGAGGGGTTGGAAGAACAGAGAACTGTTCAAACTGAAACTCAGCATACTCTGCCCTCTTCAGTCAAGATGAGATGCGATTTGTAACCTACAGTTACAAGGCTTCTGTTTTATGACTTCTTTAAAAAAGATTGCAAATTAGCAAGAGTGAAGACATCAACAAGCCATTCTTGTTAACAACCCATAGTGAACTAACATAAAAACACATGGCCAAGGCCAGTTTACTCTCAAAATCTACTATGGATAAAGACTGACTATTCAGTCTCCAAGAAGTGTTCTTAGTGGTCTCAAGTCAATAATCACATTTAGTTACATAACAAAGCTAATCTGGAGCTATGATTTGTCCCATCCTGCCCCACCTGTAGTAGGTAGTCACTGGAATAGGTTCTTTGAAAGCAGTACAAAGGCTTCCTATACCAGATGAACATAACTTTTATTTCTTAATCCTGATAAACCATGAGTAATGAATAATGCAATACAGATATAACATGACAGACCCATATGCTGTGCTGTCTTGTGCGCAGAAATCTTTATTTCTATAATCCAACTAAAAATGCAGAGCAACGAATATTTAAAATATTTGCTAGTTTAAAATACTCTTGCTTTCAGTCACCACAGAAACCTTGCCCAGGTCTTAAGATTTCTGACCTCTGGGGATATGAATTCTTGCACAAACATGAATTCAAGAACAGAGAAGCAAAAATGTCAGAACCCCTTGTTAAAACTGTCAATAATTTAATACATCACCATTAATACTGGTAATCAGTTTTGCCTATTATTTTGGCCATAAATATGAAGTTTCTGGGACCACTTGGGTTCCACATGCTCTAGTTCTTTCTTCTAACCTTTTTGTCATGGCAAGTTGTATCTAGTTTGTCTCCCACTCCCAGTTTTCTTCAGTAGCCCAAGTACCATTGAACTGTGTATCACTAAACTGCCTTAATATAGCTTTGCTCCTTACACGGGCTAACCCACATATTTTGACTGTCATGCTTTATTCTTTCACATATTATTCTATGCTGTGTCTTAGACCCAAACCTATTAAGACTACAATTTGTGTAGTGGACATTTCTATAATTTGTGTCTTAGCATCATATATATACGTATTTCTGAAATCTAAATTTTGCAACAACAGAATCTAGATTAAGCCATTTGCTTTCCAATTAGTTTCAAAAAGATGATTTCACTTACTTACTGCTGCATAAAAAAACCTGAGGTAATACCCCCTTCAACATAAAACTAATTATATGCCTAATTCCATAGCAAGAGAAACACAGCCACAGAAGTATGCCACTATAATAGATCTCCCAAATACTTGAACAATTTTCAAATCTTTGACAATTTATTTTATTGTCCTGTACATCTTCAAGCTTCAACATCAAAGAAAAATGAAGAGAGTTGTTTGTGAAAGAGATGGTAAGAAGTCTTATAAGATAGCATAAATGAAATCAGACCAACAGCACACAGTTCTGAAAAAACTTGCCCTCTATCAATGCATATCAAGTTCTACAAAGTTGCCTGTGCCCCAAAAATCTTGCTGTAGTACACAATGGAGTACAAAGAAAAAGCTTGGAAAGGGACAGATACACAACAGTAAACCAAAAAAACACTTTGAGAACATCAACAGCTGAAAAATAGCATACTGATGCCATCTGACTTAGAATATGCTTCCTTCCTATATGGGCTAACCTGCATATTTTTATTATAATTTCACTACAGAAATGCACTGAATCTGAGGCACTGCAGAAAGCCTTCTGCTTTCATCCAGAACACGTCTGAGATAAGAAAGTGAAATCTTAGTTTATCTCTAGCATCCTTTTTAAGAGATTTTTCAAATCACAGTATTTGTCATGGCACCCAAAGGATGACTTCTTAAGTCTTGAAGAATATCTCAAAATAAACTAGACATTTTTTATACTGCAACGTAGCTCTAATATGGAGAGAAGAGCCCAAGTTTGGACATTTTAGCCTTTGTTTCATAATGAAGCGGACTTCCAAAACAGGGAAGTTTCACTGCCATGAGCTGAACATTATGCATAGGCAGAGAACTGCTGTCTTGTATACAGGAATTAGTAAGTTAATGAAGATTGTTTCAGAAACAGTATGCATCTTCCCTCCTCACACTGTATCTTGCAAAAAAGATGACAGTGTTTTATACTTCATCACTTAAACTACAGAGTACTTACATCTACACTTCACCAGGAAAATAAAGAATATGTTTTACTACAGCAGGGAAAAAAGCCCCAAACATCAAAGTAAGCCCTGATGACATGCTGACAAGAACTCAAGAGGCATCAGTGCTTTGGAGCAATCTGAACGAAGTGTTATAGTAAGTAATAAAAACCTTGTTGGTATCAGGCATGGGGAATCACTGTGCTACTTCATATATTCCATTAAATATACACAGAAGTCCAAAACAGTTAAAAAAGATAAAAGTTACACTGTTTATATAGTTCAGTTATGTTTGTAGGAGTTGAACTCCCTTAGATTCCATTGTCAAAAAAGTGTGGTCTAATTACCCTGGAACAGATTCCTCACATTATAAAAGCAGCAGATGAGTTTGAAGAAATCTGTGCCACTGGATGTCAGCACATTCTAGCTCTGAAACAATGTGAATCAGGAAGAAAAGTATTTATTTAACAATATTCAGTTGGGCAGACTTAATTTAAGCTTTTCTGCCCAGAATTCAGGTGTAGGTATTTAAAAAAACAGCGTAGCTAAAAACATGAAAACAGGCATTTCCCACTTCTGGAAATGAAGGTGCAGTCAGGATAAGCAAAATTTGAAAGGATTTAGGTCATATGAAGTGCTGTATTGTCTCACAGCAATAAAGCTAGGACTTTTCCTTCTTCACAATGCAGGTAACTACTTTCCACCAACTTCCTAAACAGAGCAGCACCTCTGAGTACAGCACCCCTGGTATCAACAATTCACACATCTCAAAGATCAAAACTGTGTTTGATTGTCCCATTATACAGATACAATATTAAAGAAGACATGATTGTTAGGTTGTTTTTAAACCAACAAGTCAAACAGGATTTTCATCTACTTAATTCACTGTGCAGACATTTTATACTATTCTATATTAAATGTAGCTTTCAGTCAATGTTCAACTTTTAGTCTTCAAAAGTTCATTCTTTTCTCTGCTTTTGGGTAAAATACTAGAAGAGTAAGTTCCTAGAAGCATCGATAAAGAAAAAAGGAATTTAAGCTTTCCCTACTGCATAAATACTATACAAAATGCACAGTCACATGTAACCTGCAAGTCAGCTCTGCAAAACTGTTTCTCAGATGAAATATGTCAAAGTGCTCATTTTTTGCCGAATTACAGCTCTTTTACTCTATGAAGACAGAGCACATCAGGAGTAGCTGCCTGAGGCTAAATGAGCTGCACCTGCAGTGAATTATTTCAATTTATCCAGAAGAAGCCACAGCCCATAACTTGAACAGGTGCACTCTTCACTGGGTTAAGAACTGTATGGATGGCCTGGTCCAGAGAGGGCAAAGGAGCTGGTGAAGGGTCTGGAGAGTAAGTCGGGTGAGGAGTGGATGAATGAGTTCTGGTTCATTCTGGAGAAAAGGAGTCTCAGGGGAGACCTTACCACTCTCTATAACTACCTGTAAAGTGACTGTAGCCTGGGTGGGAGTCAGCCTCCTCTTCCAGGCAACTATCAAAAGGACAGGAGAATATGGCCTTAAATTGGGCCAGAAGAAGATTCAGATGGGACATCAGGAGGAAATGGTTCACTGAAAGGATTGCTATATACTGGAATGGGCTGCTCAGGGAGATGGCAGAGTTCATGATTGTTGCAAGTGCTCAAAAAATTACTGGATATGGCACTCAGTGCTACTACAGTTTGATATGGTCATGTCTGGTCAAGGCTGGACTCAATAACCTTGGAGGTCTTTTCCAACCTTTACAATTCTATGAATTTGTAAAAAAGAAATATTTCAATAACTTTTTTTAATCTTGTGACTGCCAATTTTGTGACACCAAAGCTCTGAAGCCTGATGTTGAAAAGACTTCTAAGATGTCAGTGTGTGGAAAGTTGAAAAAGTTAAAGTTACGAAGTCTAATGTCATTTTATCTAAGGTCTATAACACTAGAAGACTCAAGGACAAAGGGAAACTAAGAGTGGGATACCACACAAGTAAAAAGGAGCAGCATTCTGACACTGAGGATCTGCCATCAAGCATGACTTGACTGACAATGAAAACAGCTTTTAATATAGTAATTCTTCCCATTTGCAAAAAAGTGGACTATTGGTAACTTATCTCCCAAACTTACCGTAAATTCAAAGAAGAAAAATGCCAGAGACTACATATACTAATTATAACCTCTGCCACAGAAGTGTGTACAACTTTAGATTTTGCTTTCTTTACTACACATTTTGAAAGGACATTCAATGGCTCTGTAAGAATTATTCTATTTGTTTACAACAGCTTATGTCTAAACTCCCTGCAGAACAAGGAAGAACTGCTGAAACAAGGTTTGGCATGCATGTCTCCAAATAACCTCCACCAAACCTACAAAATCTCTCTAGGTTGCTAGAAGGTTAAACAGCTGTAATAGAAAGGCTTGAAACAAATTCAGCCAAGTGTTAGTCTTAATTTGCTGCATTTTTCAACTGGTGTAACATCAATTTATTTATTCAGTTTGTTTTTAACAGAGATCTAAAATGCATTCCACAGAGAGAAGAACACAGAATAGTGCTGTAACTGTCCCTATTAAATTCAGAGAAAATAACTTCCTTTTCTACAACAGCTTTGGACAACGACAGCAGCTCTCATTTAAAGCCATATGACAATTTCACTTAGATAACAGCTAAAAATGTTTAGTAACAGAAAGTGCTTAAACACAGAAAGGTTCTCAACTAGCAGAGGCTGTCCTCACAATAAAGACATCCCATATGGCAATTATTTTTAGACTGTTACGTATCAGAGGTTAGAGAAGTCACATGGTTATCTCCAAACTACCAGTTCCTCAGCTGATTTTTGTATCTCACAGAAAGAAAAAGCAAATTGGGGTAATTTTTAGAACTAACGTAGTTCAAATTTGAAAACTGTGACACCTTCTGAGTTTGTTTAGCTTCCATAACTACCTATTCTTTCCAGTAAGGGCCCAAAAAGAAAGCAAGCCTGTCATTTTTGACAAAAATACCTAGAACATTCAAAGCAGATCAGCTGAGTTTACTTAACCTGGCTCTAATTCACTGCAGCTGCATTTAATGAACCACAAAGAAAAGCTTATTACTGCAGTAAGAGACAGAGCTTAGTGGCTGAACACCCTCCAAGCTTCCAGCATCCTTCAGTTGGTTGGCTGTGCTCAGCATCAGCTACTGCATGAACTGTGTAGTGTAGATAAGCATACAAAGTCAACAGACAACACCACCTCCCCCTGCCTCTGTAATTTCTAGGATGTATTATCAAGAGGATTTCAGGTAGGGTATGCTACCAGATATGTTCAAACAGCTGCTAACAGAGATTGCATTTATTCATTGATCCTTGAAGTACTCACCTGCTTTAAATACTGAACAAGAGTTATAGAGTTCTTGTAATGATAACTCATACAAACACTTTGACATATGAGTATGTAATCTACCACATGGGAGACAGGAGAACACCTTGAGCTGCCTGAAAGATCTTCAATCTCATCTTTACAACCAGTGACTATGAGTGATCGAGAAACCTCAGGTCTTACTGCAACTTCGTTAAATAACAGTTAAAAAAACCAGACCCATGCATTACCTCTACATACACAAAAATGATTTAGGGATTCCACAAAGAATTACATCAAAGTTTTATTTAAAATGAGCAAACATGTACAATGTACAGAAGTCTCAGTAACACATTACTAAAACCAAGCTTAGTTCTCTAAAATACTGTCAGTTCTCCCCACTGGGAATTTGGCCTTTGATATACTATATGTTTAAGCTCATATTTTAAGACTATGGCTCTATAAGGAACTTCATCTATATTCTTCTCAAAATTTCATGTGTAACTTTTCCATGAGCAGTTTTCTAGTCTCAAACAGATCAGTATGTAAAATAAATCAAAAAGCATAATGAGTAAACTGAAGTACTAAATATTATGTTAAATGCATTTCCTTCACCTTCTTCCTCTTATGTCAGAAAGAGGGAACTGAGGGATGTAGTACAAGAGAAGCCTCAAAAGCTACTCAATGTTTTCAGCTTTAACTACGACAGACTCATATTAAGTGCTTCAAAAAGCACTATCTGAGAAAAAAAAAAATTAGTATGATTAAAGGTCTCCCTTCCAATTCTTGTAACAGAAGAGTGACGCACTGAAAACAAGAAACTTTACCAATTTACTCAACAGCTGCATTCCTATTTCACAGAAGTATGTAGAACACATGTAAAGATTCCCAAACACACAGGGACAACAATGACTGAGAGGAAAAGCATTTTGTTCCAGGAAGCTAATAAATGACTTTTTTTTTTTGTTTGTGCAACAGTACAGAGAATGTTGAGCTTTCTACTTCATTTATCAAAGAAAACCTACAATTAAGTCAACACTCCTCAGTAAACCCTTCAGAAGGAAGGCAGGTAAACCTCAGGGAAAATAGTTAACCACACATCAAGTTCTAACACACAGCAGCAGTGCTTTAAACAGCCTTCCAGAGGAAGAAACACTAATTGGAAATATCATAGGGATTTTGGAAATATCTTAGTATGCCCAAGCACTACAGGCTAAAATTAGAAAGAATGTTTCCCCCAGAATTTTTCTTGTATTTCTCTCCCCGTTTAATTTTTTCACACACTACCAAAAACACTTAATTCATTGAGAATTTCAGAAAATACAGAAATGCTCAGTGACGTCCTTCCCCACCAGTGATTTACAACAAAGGTACCAACTATTTGTCCCCCTACCACTCCCACAGGGTCCTAAAACCAACAAAAGTGTCAAATCAAAAAGAATGTCTGAATAGTAACCCAAAAACTAATATAAAATGGCAGAGGAGGAAAAAAAGTCCACAAAAACAATTCTTATTCCCAGTATTTTAAAAAACAGTAAGTGGTGCAGTCTCCCAAGTGTCACATCAGTCTGTTACATTCCATTTTGCTTATGCAAAATACAGATCATTATATTTCTCTACAGAATCCACTACAGTACATGGATTAGCTATTCAGAGTAACAGTACTAGCAAGGCTCTTCTCTGAGGCACTAAGAAGAGGTATAACTCTTAAGGTAAATTTCTGCATTTATTAAGACAAGGCACATGAAAGAAGCAGCAGGAATCTTTCAAGAGAACTAAGAAAGCAGTAAGTGGTAGGATGTAATTCAGCTGGCAGAGAGAGTGCACTTGAAAAGCAAGTGGAAAAAAGTGGTATCAATTGTTTTGCAAACCTACCACAATTGGATTACCTGATCCAGAATAAACTGTGCCAGTGTAAACTGACCTAAGCAGATTCTGTTCACCTTAGGGAGCAATATGCTTCTGGGACTGCTTGTTCCTACTCTGGTTTTTAGCCAAGTGTTTGTGATGCAATGACTGAACAGCATGTAACCATGGGATCTTGGGAGTTCATTAGGGAGGTAAACACTCTTATTACCACCTCTATGAAACAAACTCCTTCACTCCACGAAGCTGTGTCCCCCAAACACTCATGCTGCAGAAGACTACCAGCCAGAAAGAATATGAGTCAAGTATTTCTAGCAAAACACAGGTACTCCTGAAAGCTTAAAAATAAAGGAACTGAAGCCTCAACAACTTAGCATTTTATTATCAATATTTACAGATGCATGGAGGAGAAGAGGAGGACATCTCAAAAAGTGACATAAAATGTTAAAGCACATTAATACAAACCAAGTAATAACAAGAAGAAATCAACAAAAGCTTCATCAGGTGAGCTCAAG